ATATATATATATATATATATATATATATATATATATAAACTATGAATTTTCCAATCCAGAAGCTTGCAATAACTCTTTAAATAAAGAGAATGTTTCAACGCAAAATGTCCAGCTCTTCATATAAGAGGTACCAGGCGAATAAAACCGACAGACCTGCACTATGAAAACAGCCACAACTCTATTTACCCGGGTGAGTGTTAAGCGAGAGGAAGAGGAGAAGAATGGTTATAAAATGTCCAGACTCTACCACCAACTCGGTCACATACTAGAGTGGACACAAGCACAGTGGCCTCCCCACCAGGGACTCAGATATTAACAACAAGTAAAGCATCCAGCACTTCCACAACCGCTATAGCAAAATTTTCATTTGCCAACATCCAGGGTACAAAAACACACAAAACCAACAAAGTTCACTTTATAGATGGTCTCCTTCATGAGGCAAATGCAGTGTTTGCAGCCCTAACAGAAACTCACACAAAGGACTACCTTGATGGTGAAATGTGGATTTCGGAGTACAATCTTTAAAGATGTGACAGGAAACACAGGCTACAGGGTCGGTTCATCCTGTACATCAAAGACACACTGGAGGTAAATCCTCAGCAGTTTAAAGACCAACTTATGAAAATAGATCACTGCTTAAAAATCCTCACAAATCCAGCCCAAACATCATCCTGCTTGGGGACTTCAACCTACGGCACCTGAAATTGAATCACCTAGCTAATACAGTTATATCAGAGAGAATTCCGGGAAGTAGCCTAAATGAACAGGCACATGCAAATGACCTGCTACGGATGTGCGACAGGTTTGCCTTAAACCAGCAAATAATAGAACCAACTAGGAAGGAGAACATGTTGGACCTCATTTTCACTAATAATGATGAATTGATCAGAAACAATGATTACAAATACCTGTTACTCAGATCACAACTTAATTGAAGTTCTGACAAGCATGGGGAGCAGACCTACACAACCAGTCCCGAATCCCAGAGGAGCAGAATGCAGCAAATTCAACTTCAATAATAAACAGATAAACTGGGAGCAAATAAACCAAGACACCTCACAGAAATAAGCTGGAAAGAACAACTAGAAAATGCAAACCTGAACCAGTGCCTGGACAAAATAAGCTCAGTAGCACTAGAAATATATTAAACTCGCATACCACTAAGAAAAAAAGGAAGGGATGCAGATCGGAACAGGAACGTCGTTCACTCTATTGATGAAGAAGTTAGGTAGAGAAATTAAGGCGATTGAACTAAAGCTACAAAAATCATACAAAACCCAGGAGATAAAAAGAGAGCAAAAGGCCATCAGTGAAATAGAGAGAAATCCGAAATGTTTATTCTCCAATGCAAAATTAAGATAAAAAACTAAATCTAGTATCGGGCCCCTGCGAAAGGAGACGGAACTTTCACAGAGGACAAAGAAATGAGCGAAATACCGAGGAACCAATACGACTCTGCTTTCAACGAGCGACGAAACACACTGAAAATTGAAAACACAAATGAATTTTTCATGGATGTAATATCAACATCAAATCATATATCACACGTCTCCCTATCACCAATGTATTTTGAAGAAGCCATAGACAGTATGCCTATGCACCAGGCCCTGATTCTTGGAACTCTATAGTCATCAAGAACGGTAAAAAAAATCATTGTCACAGGTCCTTCACATTCTTTGGAGGCAAAGCCGAGATACTGGCATCATCCCTGACATATTACAAACAGCAGAGATAGCACCACTCCATAAATGAGGTAATAAGGCAGAGGCAAATAATTACAGACCGATAGCATTAACATCACTCATCGTAAAAATCTGTGAGAAAGTGCTAAGAAGTAAGATCACAAAACACATGGAGTCACAGCATCTCCATAACCCGGGACAACATAGTTTCAGAACAGGGCGCTATTGCCTGTCACAGTTGCTGGATCACTATGATAAGGCATTAGATGCCATGGAAGACAAACAAAACGCTGATGTAATTTAAACAGATTTCGCAAAAGCCTTTGACAAATGTGACCATGGTGTTATTGCACACAAAATGCGTTCAAAAGGAATTACCGGGAAAATAGGGAGATGTATCTACAATTTCCTGCCAAACAGAACCCAATGTGTAATAGTCAACAAAATAAAATTAGGACCATCAACCGTGAAGAGCTCAGTCCCCCAGGGTACTGTGCTTGCTCCAGTACAGTCCCCCAGGGTACTGTGCTTGCTCCAGTACTTTTTCTCATCCTCATATCGGACATAGACCAGAACACAACCTATAGCACTGTATCATCCTTTGCAGATGACACTAGGATCTTCATGAGAGTAGACCACATAGAGGACACGGCAAATCTCCAATCAGATGTAAATCAGGTCTTTCAATGGGCTACACAAAATAATATGGTATATAATGAAGATAAGTTCCAGCTCATGCGCTATGGAAAAAATGAAAATATAAAAGCAGAGACCACGTACAAAAGTTAAATCATAACATAGAACAAAAAAGCAATGTGTCTTTAAAGAACACAATACAATAGCTGTCACAACTACAAGAAAAATGACAGGTTGGATAAAAAGAACTTTTCACACTAGACATGCTATACCAATGATGGTGCTCTTCAAGACGCTAGTGCTCTCTAGAGTGGAGTACTGCTGTACAATGACAGCACCTTTCAAAGCTGGAGAAATTGCTGACCTGGAGAGCGTGTAAAGATCCTTTACTGCTAGAATCCACTCAGTAAAACATCTAAACTATTGGGACCGACTAAAGAGCCTAAATCTGTATTCTCTTGAGCGCAGGCGGGAGATACATAATAATTTAAACATGGAAAACAGTGGAGGGGCTGGTCCCAAACCTGCACACAGAAATAACATCACATGAGACCAAAAGGCATGGCAGGATGTGCAGAATACCCCCGTTGAAGGGCAGAGGTGCAACAGGTACTCTGAGAGAGAACTCTATCAACATCAGAGGCCCGAGACTGTTCAACACGCTTCCACTACACATAAGGGGCATAACTGGCCGACCCCCTCACAGTGTTCAAGAGAGAACTATCAACATCAGAGGCCCGAGACTGTTCAACACGCTTCCACTACACATAAGGGACATAACTGGCCGACCCCTCACAGTCAAGAGAGAACTAGTGTTCAAGAGAGAACTATCAACATCAGAGGCCCGAGACTGTTCAACACGCTTCCACTACACATAAGGGACATAACTGGCCGACCCCTCACAGTGTTCAAGAGAGAACTATCAACATCAGAGGCCCGAGACTGTTCAACACGCTTCCACTACACATAAGGGACATAACTGGCCGACCCCTCACAGTGTTCAAGAGAGAACTATCAACATCAGAGGCCCGAGACTGTTCAACACGCTTCCACTACACATAAGGGACATAACTGGCCGACCCCTCACAGTGTTCAAGAGAGAACTATCAACATCAGAGGCCCGAGACTGTTCAACACGCTTCCACTACACATTAGGGACATAACTGGCCGACCCCTCACAGTGTTCAAGAGAGAACTTGATAAACACCTCCAAAGGATACCTGATCAACCAGGCTGTGACTCATACGTCAGGCTGCGAGCAGTCGCGTCCAACAGCCTGGTTGACCAGTCCAGTAACGAGGAGACTTGGTCGAGGACCGGGCCGCGAGGACGCTAAACCCCGAAAACACCTCAAGGCAAGGTGCATTACGTCAAGCAGATGTTAAGGACAGTGTCGCCCTGGCAAGGAACCGGTGGAATGCCCCATTCCACCTCCTCCCCCAATATGTATTCTACATATATATTCTACATACAGTATGTATTCTACATACATAGGGGCAGCGTGAAGGATGGGAGAGGACACAACCCTCCCTTCTCTCCCGCACACGTGAGAGAAGAGGCAGAGGGAAGGATCTGAGAGAGAAACCCCCTCCCCCCCCCTTAACATGCAATAAGAGGGCAATAAGAGGGGGGTGGGAGAGTGTGTAACCATCCCACACCCGGCCCCCCTCACATGGAAGAGGAGGAGCGGAGCGTGAGGGATGGGAGAGGGAGTATAACCATCCACCCCTCACATGAAAGAGGAGGGGCGGAATGCGGAATGTTTTGTCATGAATGACTGAGAGCTGCTCTCTCTCTCCCGCCATTCATACTAGAGAAGGAACACACCGCCGGCAACATTCACCCTTATACACAGGGGCCGCGAGGCTAAGAATACCTGGCGCGAGTCCTCGGGTGTGTTTACTCACAGAGGAGAAGAACACCCAGAGGCAGATAAACATGATGCTATTACTCGCTATTCTATACAACACCCGGCCACGAAAAAGTGAGCATCGTCTCCTAAAACTCAGAGGATAATGGTATGCCACAAGGGAGCTAGTCAGAGACGGCCTGGCGCAATGGTTACGGCATTTTTGTTCCCTTCCATCGATCAGGTGGAGAGGGGGAAAGGTGGGAGAGAGAGATAGAGGGAGAGAGAGAGAGAGAGAGAGAGAGAGGGGACCCAGGGGTTGTTGAGGCTTCCTTGAAATTTAGATTGATTCAATTTTCTAACTGATGGTGACTCCTCCAAGGTGATGGTGGTGGGGGTGGTGATGGGGGGGTGGTGATGGGGGTGGTGATAGGGGTGGTGATGGTGGTGGTGGTGGTGGTGGAGGTGGTGGTGGGGGTGGTGATGGTGGTGGTGGTGGTGATGGTGGTGGTAGTGGGGGTGGTGGTGGTGATGGTGGTGGCTGAGACGTGGGTGAACAAGATTGGTTTTTTATCGAATTGATGTTCACATGTGGCCCAGCATTGCTACCCGTCTTCGACTGGGTGTTCAAAACCTACTCGAGGAACCGGTTATTGGGGTTCACGACCCATCAAGCCAACCGGTTCTCTGGTGTCTGTCCCCTCTACTGGCATATGGTCGAGTGGCAGCCAGATAGCCCCACACATCATGGGACCCAGTTCGAATTCCGCTAAGTTATTAATTTTGATTTGAAACTTTTCATATCGCGAACATTACTTAATCTTCTGAAGGAAAGAAAACATGTATAGGTCTAGGAATAATGATGTCAGATGACCTAACGTTTAGGGAGATCCCATGACAATGATCATAGTATTCGAACCACTTGTGTTGTCCCGTCTTGAGTACTGCTCAGTACTCACTTCCCCTTCAGAGCAGGAGAGATTGCTGAAATAGAGGGAATACAGTGACCACATACGGCATACAAAATACGCTTAACCTAAACCATTGAGACCGTCTCAAGGTTCACAAAATGTGACAGATTTAAGACGGTATTTCTGTGAGATAAATGCCCCTTCGAACCTACGTCCGAGATCATCCCGGACACTGCCTTAATCGACTGAGCTACGACATGGCCAAAAAGAGTTGAAACCGAAGTTCTACTGAACTTACTGGATCCCCAGCCTCTCCGAGACACAAACCAGGGTTTTACACAACTCCCCCCTGCACTCCAGCTATGTCAATAGGCCGTTCTACCTCTTCACCCTTACTTCATTACACTTTGTTCATTACACTTTGTTCATTGATGCATCACGTTACTGTGATTTCTGTGTGTAATGAAGTAAGGGTGAAGAGGGAGAACGGCCTATTGACATAGCTCGAGCGCATGGGGGAGTTGTGTAAAACCCTGGTTTGTGTCTCGGAGAGGCTGCAGGATCCAGTAAGTTCAGTAGAACTTCGGTTTCAACTCTTTTTGGCCATGTCGTAGCTCAGTCGATTAAGGCAGTGTCTGAGATGATCTCGGACGTAGGTTCGAATCCCCGTCACGGCCCTTGTGGATTTGTTCTTAGGTGTTTAGGTTCTATTGGCGATTATTTGTATTTGTAGTACGTGAGTGAAGCATTTACAACGTTGTGGTTCGAACAAAAGTCGTCAGTGAAGCACTTGTTCCGGAAGTGTTCGAACGTCATCAGTTGTGAGTCGTGTGTAAACCGTTTTTCATTCACAAACAGTGGGGTTGGCGGGTGCATGGAATGGTCTTTGTTGATCAGGACGAGCTGTGTCAACGGAGTGGAAATTCAAAAAGAGGTCGTTTAGCGAAGCAATATTCGAGAAATATTTGAACGTCATCAGCAGATTTTCATTCATAAACGGGGGGGGGGGGGGAGGTTGGCGGCTGGATTAATAAGCATTTGACCTTAGTTGATGAGGACGGGATGCAGTGCTTCACTCATGGTTTATGATTCACCCGTTGTCAGTGCTTCACTCATTGTCCGTGTTTCACTCGTGGCCGGTGCTTCACTCGTGGCCGGTGCTTCACTCGTGGCTCGTGGCCGGTGTTCACTCGTGGCTGGTGCTTCACTCGTGGCTGGTGCTTCACTCGTGGCCGGTGCTTCACTCGTGGCTGGTGCTTCACTCGTGGCCGGTGCTTCACTCGTGGCCGGTGCTTCACTCGTGGCTGGTGCTTCACTCGTGGCCGGTGCTTCACTCGTGGCTGGTGCTTCACTCGTGGCTGGTGCTTCACTCGTGGCCGGTGCTTCACTCGTGGCTGGTGCTTCACTCGTGGCCGGTGCTTCACTCGTGGCTGGTGCTTCACTCGTGGCTGGTGCTTCACTCGTGGCCGGTGCTTCACTCGTGGCCGGTGCTTCACTCGTGGCCGGTGCTTCACTCGTGGCTGGTGCTTCACTCGTGGCCGGTGCTTCACTCGTGGCTGGTGCTTCACTCGTGGCTGGTGCTTCACTCGTGGCCGGTGCTTCACTCGTGGCTGGTGCTTCACTCGTGGCTGGTGCTTCACTCGTGGCTGGTGATTCACTCGTGGCCGGTGCTTCACTCGTGGCCGGTGCTTCACTCGTGGCCGGTGCTTCACTCGTGGCTGGTGCTTCACTCGTGGCCGGTGCTTCACTCGTGGCTGGTGCTTCACTCGTGGCTGGTGCTTCACTCGTGGCCGGTGCTTCACTCGTGGCCGGTGCTTCACTCGTGGCTGGTGCTTCACTCGTGGCCGGTGCTTCACTCGTGGCTGGTGCTTCACTCGTGGCTGGTGCTTCACTCGTGGCCGGTGCCTCACTCGTGGCCGGTGCCTCACTCGTGGCTGGTGCCTCACTCGTGGCTGGTGCTTCAGTGGCCTGGGCACCACGGAACTCTGGCCTTTCAGTTGCAAATTCCGAAGACTTTCATTTGTGAACTCTCGCTCATCCGTTTATTTCGTTCATCCGATCGCGACTGCATCGTAAAGCCGGATGAATGAACATCCAGTGAATGGAAAATACACTTAAATATCACATCCCTCCCTTCCACCCCTCACATCCCCCCTCCCACCCCTCACATCCTCCCCTCCCACCCCTCACATCCCCCCTTCCACCCCTCACATCCCCCCTTCCACCCCTCACATCCCCCCTCCCACCCCTCACATCACCCCTCCCCCCCTCACATCCTCCCCTCCCACCCCTCACATCCCCCCTCCCACCCCTCACATCCCCCTCCCACCCCTCACATCTCCCCCCCCCCCCCCTCACATCCCCCCTCCCACCCCTCACAAATCTCCCCCCCCCACCCCTCACATCACCCGTCCCACACCTCACAACCCCCCTTCCACCCCTCACATCCCCCCTCCCACCCCTCACATCTCCCCTCCCCCCCCACCTCACATCCTCCCCTCCCACCCCTCACAACCCCCCTTCCACCCCTCACATCACCCGTCCCACACCTCACAACCCCCCTTCCACCCCTCACATCCCCCCTCCCACCCCTCACATCTCCCCTCCCCCCCTCACATCCTCCCCTCCCACCCCTCACATCCCCCCTTCCACGCCTCACATTCCCCTCCCACACCTCCCTTGCACTCATTACAGAACCACAGGAGGAATCAGTTTCCAGCACTAGAATGTTAAGACGGGCGTGAGTCTTAGTTATAATGAGGCTGCAATGATGTCTGGTGATAGATGTTGCATGTTAGCATCTGTCTCTGTCTCTGTCTCTGTCTCTCTCTCTCTCTCTCTCTCTCTCTCTCTCTCTCTCTCTCTCTCTCTCTCTCTCTCTCTCTCTCTCTCTCTCTCTCTCTCTCTCTCTCTCTCTCTCTCTGTCTCTCTCTCACCTTACTCACAGGACCCTCACCTGCGGCCAGCTCACACTTACCTGTCAAGAAAGAATCAAGTGTTAATAGAATGGTTCAATAAATATGATAAATATGATAAAATACCAACATTTACATTGTATACCATGTTTCATTGTATGTATTCACCAATCCTTATAGACGATCATTGGTGCGGTGGTCACGGTACTGTGTACGTTTAGGGGTGATCCTGGACGGCATGGGTTCGAATCCTGGCCGGGTCAAAGAGTTCTTAGTGATATATATATATATATATATATATATATATATATATATATATATATATATATATATATATATATATATATATATATATATATATATAATTTTCTACGACTCTCTTTGTTCTCTTAAAGTAAAATCTTCCGACACAATTCATCAATTCATCCCAAATAATATATTTCTCACAGCCACGAGTCTGTGCTTGTTCTCTCTACTTCACCAAAGCAATAATTATTAACGTGGTTTTTACCATTTGTGGTCCGTGTGTGTCTTTGGCTTCGTCAGAGAGAAGTTACCTCAGCGACTGGCTTTAGACCACCGTCAGCACTCGCCTGACGCCCGACGTCTGACGCTCGACGTCTGACGCACGACGTCTGACGCCCGTCGCCTGACGCCCGACGTCTGACGCCCGACGCACTGTCAACACACTCAGGTTATCAAGCCAACACACTCAACCGTTGACAGACTCATTCAACACTCAAGAGACACTGCATACTATCAACCGTCACACTTAACTGTACAATGACACACTCAACCTTAACAGATACACTCAAGTACCAACATACACCCTCAACTCTCAGTCAACACACTCTACGTTCACAAGTCTTACACACACACACACACACACACACACACACACACACACACACACACACACACACACACACACACACACACACACACACACACACACACACACACAGAGGAATGGTCGAACAAATGGTTGTTAGAGTTTAACCCAAGCAAATGTAATGTAATGAAGATAGGGGTAGGAAGCAGCTAGGAGACCAGATACAAGGTATATTTTGGGAGACGAAATACTTGAGGAGTCAGAGAAAGAGAGAAAGACCTGGGGGTTGATATCACGCCAGACCTGTCCCCTGAAGCTCATATCAAGAGGATAACATCAGCAGCATATGCCAGGTTGGCTAACATAAGAACGGCCTTTAGAAACTTGTGTAAGGAATCTTTCAGAACATTATATACCACATATGTCAGACCAGTCCTGGAGTATGCGGCTCCAGCATGGAGTCCATATCTAGTCAAGCATAAGACTAAACTGGAAAAGGTTCAAAGGTTTGCCACCAGACTAGTACCCGAGCTGAGAGGTATGAGCTACGAGGAGAGACTACGGGAATTGAACCTCACGTCACTGGGAGACAGAAGAGTTAGAGGGGACATGATCACCACATACAAGATTCTCAGAGGAATTGATAGGGTAGATAAAGACAGACTATTTAACACAAGGGGCACACGCACAAGGGTCACAGGTGGAAATTGAGTGGCCAAATGAGCCATAGATTCGTTAGAAAGAATTTTTTCAGTGTCAGAGTAGTAGACAATTGGAATGCATTAGGAAGTGATGTGGCGGAAGCTGACTCCATACACAGTTTCAAGTGTAGATATGATAGAGCCCAATAGGCTCAGGAACCTGTACACCTGTTGATTGACGGCTGAGAGGTGGTACCAGAGCTCAACCCCCGCAAGCACAAATAGGTGAGTACACAATGCCTCTATCCTCTTAATGACCCAACCAGTGGCACTACATCCTGGTGTGCCATTACCCGCAGCAATATGCCGTCTTGATCAGCCCTCTAAGGTTCAACCATGCATTTCAGGGACTCATTACTGGAGCCTTATTACCCACGACGGGGACGTCCCCGGCAATGCTCTCTCTATCGACAAACCAAATGCAATTTCACCGAGCATTTCAGAGGGGCGTCTCGCCTGCACGGCGCATGCCATCCCCGAACACAGCCCAACCGTCGCTGGGAATGATTTAGCATCACGTAACATTCCTCTTGTTGCCGAGGGGACAGGAAACGTGTACGTAGATTCATAGACGGGTTATCCCTAAGTGAACAGGCACATGCAAATGACCTGCTACGGATGTGCGACAGGTTTGCCTTAAACCAGCAAATAGTAGAACCAACTAGGAAAGAGAACACGCTGAACCCCATTTTCACCAATGATGATGAATTGATCAGGAACATAATGATTACAAATACCTGTTACTCAGATCAACACTTAATTGAAGTTCTGACAACCATGGGGACTAGACCTTCAAAACCAGTCCCGATTCCCGGTGGAGGAGATTTCAGTAAATTCAACTTCAATAATAAACAGATAAACTGGGAGCAAATAAACCAGGACTTCACAGAAATAAACTGGGAAGAACAGCTAGAAAATGCAAACCTGAACTAGTGTCTAGGAAAAATAAGCTCAGTAGCACTAGAAATATGTTCAAACCGCATACCTCTAAGAAAAAAGAGAGAAGAGATGCAGATTGGAACGGGAACGTCGTTCCCTATATAGGCGAAGAAAACGAATCGCGGAACAACTTGAGAGTCGCACCCTATCTCAAGAACGGCGAAGAAGGTTAGGTAGAGAAATAGAAACAAGTGAACTAAAGCTACAAGAATCATACAAAACCCAGGAGAGGCAAAGAGAGCAAAAGTCCATCAGTGAAATACAGAGAAATCCGAAATATTTTTTCTCCTATGCAAAGTCAAGATCTAAAACCACTTCTAGTATCGGGCCCCTGCGAAAGGGAGATGGAACTTTCACCGATGACAACAAAGAAATGAGCGAGTTACTGAGGAAGCAGTACGACTCTGTTTTCAGTGAGCCATTAAACACACTAAAGATTGATAACCCAAATGAATTTGTCATGGATATGATACCAACATCAAATCATATATCAGACGTCGCCCTATCCCCACTGGATTTTTGAAGAAGCCATAAACTGTATGCCTATGCACTCTGCACCAGGCCCGGATTCTTGGAACTCCTAGATTCGTCAAGAATACTTAGCAAAGGGTAAATATAAAAACACTTGTGGATTCCTTCTCACATTGGCATGCAGGAACATGACAAAGCCTAGTTGACGCCCTTGCTAAGGCTGCAGTAAAAAATCTTTGAAGAGACAGTATTGAACGGAATCTTGAGTTGATCAAATAGGTCCCTTAAAAGTGTCATTAGACGAGAACTCCTGGATGGATTTGAAGAAAGTAGAACAGTGCAAACTGGAACTAGCAGGTCCATTGTTTATCGCAATGAAATGTGTGAAGTAAAACATGTGTATGGGGCAAGTAACAAAGTCAGTAGACTAACAGATGTTGTCACAGCTCGTATAAGACTTGGCTACAAGTATCTCTGGCAGTTCGGCTTGTATAAGGATCTAGATGAAGTAAAGTGTAAAGTGTGTGGACATAAACAGGGACACACACTCGAACACTATGTCTTGGATTGTAGTAAAATTGAGCCTTTTAGAGATAAATCTAAGCTCACTCTGCATGATATGGCAACCTATCTTATTACCATGGATAAATTACCTGAAATCCTTGCACTGTATCCATATGTCGCTTCCAGTAGATGAACGACATATGAGATTCAGAAACAAGTAGTGTATTGTGAGGACTAATAATAAACAGAAGCTCCCCTATGACTCTGTAATATCCCCATTGGTCAAACTATTATGTATTAGCGATAAGACCTGCCATTAATGTATGATGACTTACTGTAAATATGTAGCTCTTGTAATAGCACTTTCTCTGTAACTAGCTGACATTGTAACTATAAGGTGTGAAGGATAGATGAAATTGTTTATGTAATAATCTAAGATGAGGTCTGATAAAGACCTTTTGTGCCCTCTGTAATGCTTTTGCGCTACCGCTCACAGGATGAGTATGGGGTGCAAAATAAACTAGCCGCCTTCAGCGGCAACAATCAATCAACCATATTCATCAAAAAGGCAAAAAATTACAGACCAATAGCACTAACATCACACATAAAAATCTTAAGAGTGCTAATAAGTAAGATCACAAAATACATGGAATCACAGCATCTCCATAACCCCGGACAACATGGGTTCAGAACAGGGCGCTCTTGCCTGTCGCAGTTGCTGGACCACTATGATATGGCATTAGATGCTATGGAAGACAAATAAAACGCTGATGTAATTTACACAGATTTCGCAAAAGCCTTCGTCAAATGTGACCATGGTGTTATTGCACACAAAATGCATTCAACAGGAATTACCGGAAAAATAGGTAGATGGATCTTCAATTTCCTGACTAACAGAACCCAATGTGTAATAGTCAACAAAATAAAATCCAGCCCATCAACCGTGAAGAGCTCAGTCCCCCAGGGTACTGTGCTTGCTCCAGTACTTTTTCTCATCCTCATATCGGACATAGACAAGAACACAATCTATAGTACTGTATCATCCTTTGCAGATGACACTAGGATTTTCATGAGAGTAGACAACATAGAGGACACGGCAAACCTCCAATCAGATGTAAATCAGGTCTTTCTATGGGCTACAGAAAATAATATGGTGTTTAACGAAGATAAGTTCCAGCTCATGCGCTACGGAAAAACTGAAAATATAAAAACGGAAACCACGTACAAAACGCAGTCAAATCATAATATTGAACGAAAAGGCAATGTAAAGGATTTGGGTGTACTCATGTCGGAAGACCTTACCTTTAAAGAACACAATAAAGTAGCCGTCACAACTGCAAGAAAAATGACAGGTTGGATAACAAGAACTTTTCACACTAGAGATGCTGTACCGATGATGATACTCTTCAAACCGCTAGTGCTCTCTAGAGTGGAGTACTGCTGCACAATGACAGCCCCTTTCAAAACTGGAGAAATTGCTGACCTGGAGAGCGTGCAGAGATCCTTTACTGCTAGAATCGACTCATTAAAATATCTAAACTATTGGGACCGACTAAAGAGCCTAAATCTGTACTCCCTTGAGCCCAGGCGGGAGAGATACATAATAATTTACAGGTGGAAAAACTTAGAGGGACTGGTCCCAAACCTGCACACAGAAATAACACCACATGAGACCAGAAGGCATGGCAGGATGTGCAGAATACCCCCGTTGAAAAGCAGAGGTGCAACAGGTACTCTGAGAGAGAACTCTATCAACATCAGAGGCCCGAAACTGTTCAACACGCTTCCACTACACATAAGGGACATAACTGGCCGACCCCTCACAGTGTTCAGGAGAGAACTATCAACATCAGAGGCCCGAGACTGTTCAACACGCTTCCACTACACATAAGGGACATAACTGGCCGATCCCTCACAGTGTTCAAGAGAGAACTATCAACATCAGAGGCCCGAGACTGCTCAACACGCTTCCACTACACATAAGGGGCATAACTGGCCGACCCCTCACAGTGTTCAAGTGAGAACTTGATAAACACCTCCAAAGGATACCTGATCAACCAGGCTGTGGATCATACGTCAGGCTGCGAGCAGCCTCGTCCAACATCCTGGTTGATCAGTCCAGCAAGCAGGAGGCCTGGTCGACGACAGGGCCGCGGGGACGCTAAGCCCTGGAAACACCTCAAGGTATTGTATCCCATAAGGAAAGTGCTGGCCTTCCTTTGGATGCCACCCACAACAGTTGTCTAACTCCCGGGAGAGTAAACAGATCCAATAGGTGAAAGAAAAGGAGACCAGGATTGAACCAGAGGTCTCCTTAACTGACTGTGAGCCAAGAACGTAGACTACTTCGCTACATGACCCCCCCCCCTGTAGCTCCTAGTCTTAAAGCCTCGCTCATATAAACACACACAAGCGAAGAAATAATATTTAAAACCACCATCGACTACATATATATTTATTTACAAACACTTTCCAGCATGCTAATTATACCCAGGTGGAGGAGCGAGTATTCCCGGGGCTCGATCTACGGTCAACGACCTGAAAAACTCCTTTCCAACAGTGCAAACTAAAGGTGCGCGCAGAGAGAACAATGCCGGAGCCGGTAATTATAATATGTAATGGGAATGATCAATACGGACGTACGCAGGCAGCCGGCCCCGACATCTCCTGCCGGCTGCGAGGCTGGCGGCATCGCCTCTCGTTACTATGGTAACCTCTCCAAACCGATTGTGAAACCTGAGCATCATGTTTTTGCTGCGTCTCCCCGGTGATGCTGGCCGGATGGGACGACCGGATGGTCCGGACACTTGATGATTTGCGTAGGTTAATGTGGCCAGCCAGATGGTGCTGTTCCTGGATGGTGGTGTCTGTAGCTGGTGGTGTCTGTCGCTGGTGGTGTCTGTAGCTGGTGGTGTCTGTAGCTGGTGGTGTCTGTAGCTGGTGGTGTCTGTAGCTGGTGGTGTCTGTAGCTGGTGGTGTCTGTAGCTGGTGGTGTCTGTAGCTGGTGGTGTCTGTAGCTGGTGGTGTCTGTAGCTGGTGTTGTCTGTAGCTGGTGGTGTCTGTAGCTGATGGTGTCTGTAGCTGGTGGTGTCTGTAGCTTGTGGTGTCCGTAGCTGGTGGTGTCTGTAGCTGGTGGTGTCTGTAGCTGGTGGTGTCTGTAGCTGGTGGTGTCTGTAGCTGGTGGTGTCTGTAGCTGATGGTGTCTGTAGCTTGTGGTGTCCGTAGCTGGTGGTGTCTGTAGCTGGTGGTGTCTGTAGCTTGTGGTGTCTGTAGCTGGTGGTGTCTGTAGCTTGTGGTGTCCGTAGCTGGTGGTGTCTGTAGCTGGTGGTGTCTGTAGCTGGTGGTGTCTGTAGCTGGTGGTGTCTGTAGCTGGTGGTGTCTGTAGCTGGTGGTGTCTGTAGCTGGTGGTGTCTGTAGCTTGTGGTGTCTGTAGCTGGTGGTGCCTGTAGCTTGTGGTGTCCGTAGCTGGTGGTGTCTGTAGCTGGTGGTGTCTGTAGCTGGTGGTGTCTGTAGCTGGTGGTGTCTGTAGCTGGTGGTGTCCATAGCTGGTGGTGTCTGTA